TACTAAGCAGCGTACTGCCGTGAAGAGCAGTAGGAAGTGCCTCCCATACTTACGTGGAAGCACACCATTAAGAACAACTACGCCAGTATATAACAAGAATTGGTGCAGTTCTGTACCCTTCCAGGTGTCCATGTCATTTAATGACCTAACGCGATGCGAAAATTCTCTCGGCAGGTAGGGGTTCAACGCGCGCAAGTTATTATTTATAGTCGACACTGCCGATATGGACAACATATACGCACTGTCCCTAGGGCTGCGTAGCTAAAAGTTGAGAAGTCTTCTCATAACATCTAGGTAAACCAAATGTAAAGGATCTAAGGGGAAGGAGCTTATCATTCCTACATTGCACGCCAGCAATGGCGACACGCCAATGCGGTGGCAGTCATTGTCCACGGAAAAAAATCCTCACCTGACCTAGCATGTTCGGAGACACTATCATAACGCAGCAGCGTTCGCAGCCATAGTAAGCATTAACATTCTTAATCTGCTTAATGAAAGCTCTTGTTGGAGCGTCACAGATGACGGAAGCGCAGAGTTTTGTCACCCGCATCGGGCCGCAAACCGTCTTTATTCAACGACAATAAATCGTCGGCAGGCGGTTTGCAGAACGCCTGCACGTCCGAAAGCTTACCTACTCCACAGTATATACCTACGGTAAAAACATCACTTAATATTGGCTTCATAATTCTGCCTAAAACAGGCCAAAATTCACGCTTAGTCTTCCTATGGATTGGAAGACCACCTATTGCTAGTCTGAAAACTACTTCTTCTACTGAATGGGGCCAGCCTAGTTTACGCAACTGCGCGTTCGCCTGAGCGGCAAGACCCAAATGCATGTACTTATTACTGACCATTGCCGTGATCGGTGCAGAGATGTATGCCGCGACCAACAGCATTCGAGCGTCAGCCGGGAGGTCCGGCAACCACGGTTTCAAAGCCATAAGCAGATCGTTCAAGTGCGAATGGGGAGCTTTCGACCGTAAAGCCCACTTTCGCACAGCTTCACGACCACTTGCATCCTTCTCCTCTACTTCCGCCGTTGAACCAACTTCTTCGTCCGTAGACGCACTGGTACCCTCCAAGGAAGAAGAGAGTTCGATCTCCAGCGAAGTTTAGAACATAGAGTCGTCGTGACGCTTTCCGACCAACTACTCAATGATGTGACCGACGACGGCACTTCCCGCAAATCTTCAGGAATATCTGGGGGTTCTTCATTAAGGAGAAAGTAAAAACGAGTTAGGAAAAATGACGGGAAAAGACGGCGGGGGAAAGAGTAGAAATACATAGAAATGGACAGTATTCATGGGCTATTGAAAGCCCTAATAAAACGAAAATGGTATGGGTAAGCATACCAACGGTGTGAAGTTACTTCGAGTCCAAATGCATTGCGGCGACATCCATAATTTCAAAAAATGATAATTAGCCATGGTTCAATATCCCTACGAAACAATCTCGGAGGAGAAAGAGTGTGATAAATAAGGTCTGGGGTCCATCAGGAGGGTGGCTAATGTGTAGAATGATAAGTAGCCTGTGGATACAGCTAGAGAGGAAGCAGTGCAAAGAACAGCTCTGGAGCCACTGGGCGAAATAAGGAAGAAGGCATCCCTCAGGATTAATGGCTATTAAACTAAGGAAGAAAGGAAGAGTAAGGATGGCATCGTCTCATGATTGCATGCTGTTCGTCGGGTTTTTACAGCCATTAGAAAGCGTAGTTGGACGGGACCTGACATCGCTATCGCCACGAAGACCCGCATATACCGGGTATCCGTCCAATCACTCCTCCTCTGTGGGCGACTGTGCGTAACAAAATGCTAGCAGATAAACTGAAGGACTGTTCACAACTGTCTACTCCTGAATATTGTAATATATCAGAAGGCCTTCCTTACACCGCCTTTAATGAAATATAATCTAGGAAGATAAACTACCAGCACTGTATTCTAACTCAAAACCAAAATAGGTGACGGCAGAAATCGGTTCTATGTATTCCACACGAAGTATTTCTTAAACAAGGTAGAACGTCCGAAATGTGGTTCATACTGCTTAGCTAAAAGAAGACCAATTGTTTTATAGCATTGATAAGGCCTCGGATCACAAATAAACCACAAAGCAAACTGAATTATGCTTATCCGCTCACAAATTGCTTGCCCTTCGAACCCCACCGGAACTGCAATTTGAAGCCCTGGCCCAGATCTTCATTGTTATGGTCCCCCTTCTACACAACATGGGCAAAATTATTTTAGGCTTAATGGTCCGAAGTATTCGGAGTGCTAAAGTGCATAATTTCACTCTTTGTAATATCTACTCTAGTTAACTGTTAGAAACTGTTGTTTATTTCATAAGAACTACGCAGAGTGAATCGTCTAATTTTACAGCAAAGCCCAGCCACGATTTACATCCCAAGTCCGAACGTGACATGTAAGCAAAGTACACACGTTTGAAAGCATAAGCACATTTAAGCTGACTTGAAACTCTACCTTGAGTGTCCTGCAACTGCTAGGATGGGAATTCTGGCTGAACATATAGCTGGAACGAGTTCATTGTACATGGTTGGCCCTAGAATACCTACAAGAAAGAAACAACGGGAAAAGGACAATTTGCTAAATAAACATGCCAAACCTACATACGCACGTACTTACTGTTTCACATAGTAACACAGAGCGACCTTCTGAGACTGCAAAATATCAACTACTTTTCTTATACTTATCCTATGCGCTAGGCAATAGGACAGGGAGGATGCCTTGTAGGGGATGGAGGAGTTTCGTTCACGTCTCTGGAAGTGAATGCTCAGCGTTGCAGAAGCAAGTGATTTCTGGGGTCCCAATTGAACTATCCACCTTCAATAAACCAGTGTAGTGGTGGTAGCATATGTAGCCCGGTCTCAACGCGAGATGTGAGTTGACTGCCTAAAATGTGGTTGGGTGCCGTTGTTAGCCCTAAGCACATTGAAAGGCACCCACAAGTCCGTCCATATAGGATGTCGTCTGGCTATAATAACCTTGCACATCTCCCCGAGAAAGCATGACCAGTCAAATTTAGCGTCAGTCTCAAGGCAGAGTCCTAGCACTAGTCTCCCTTCTTTCATACAGCGCTGACCACCGAACAAAACGCAGTCAGAAACTGAAGTTCCAATCTCGTCCACATACTAAAACATGGTCTACTAATGAAGACCACAACTCAGTGGTTTGTGCAGGATGAGTCTTACCCACCAGCTACAATTGTTGCCAAGACACCTGCAGGCAAACACATTTGAAGGTGTTGCCTTCTAATGCACGTTAGAACATCGGCAGGTACGGACAGAGGGATCAATGACTGTGAGAGATTTCAAAGCTGTTAAACTGACATGAAAAAAATAAGGTAAACGCATACGACGTGCAACAGATCAACGGTCCATCAGACCTGCAAAGGAAATCATAGCGGGTCATAGAACTACGATAGCACTGTCGCTGGAAGGACGTTGATATGTTTCTAAACTGAGCAGTAACATGCAGAAAACGAATAAATTCGTGCTCCTTTTCCTGTAATAAGAGAGCATGGACGATTTGCAAACTCACCGAAAGTGTCGTCAATTTCCGTATCAATTTGTTTTGGAAACGAAAGTTTTGACCGTGTGAGGAAGCATATAATGGTAGATTTTGAGGGTTAGCCACAGAAATGTGCTGTGTTCAGCGTGAATGATTAAATGCTGTAGGCGAGGAACACTCGCCCTTAGGTGACCTAGACGGCCGTGCAGTTATTGTTGTCGTTGGACCAGGAGCTGCTCCTGAAAACGTTCCGTAGTCTGTCGTAGAATTAGGATACTACAGGACGACGCTCATAATTCCAGTAACAGGCTCCACACAGACAGGGTACGTGTCAGAAGTCCTTGGTTAAGGAATAAATATATTCCACGCCCGGAAAACAGGAGGGAAGTGAGCAAGAAAAAGATAGCGATGTATATAAAATAGGACAAAAATGGAAAAATGTCAATATGGTTGGCGAGGCTAGTTCAGAGAAATTCAACGCTGTCCTTCCGTTGGCAAAATATTGACTGAGGCACTTGTCTCTGCGTCCTCGCCTGCAAATGGGAAAGAGATGATTTTACCTCACTAGTTCCTTCATATTTTCCCGCTTCCAAATCACACAAACTGCTTTTACATACTCGCCCTCTACAGGTGGAGCCCTGGCCGCATTGCTCCTTGACGCTTTATCCCATCTGAGTTCACTTCGTGACCAAGAAAGATAGGACTGGGGACTCCAAACTCACATTTGGCGGCATTGATGATAACGCCGTAGGAGTCGAGCTGTCGAAGATGAATCTCGTGTTCAGCAGCGTCAGAACTAGCCACCAGCAAATCATCAATGTAGGCGTAGACGAAGTCGAGACCTCGCAGAACCTGATCAATGAATCGCTGAAAGGTTTGAGTGGCGTTCCTCAGACCAAAGGGCATACAAGTAGATTCGAATAACCCAAAGGGTGTGGTCACTGCGGTTTTCGGCACATCACTGGCCTCGATTGGAATTTGATGGGAGGCACGCACAAGGTCAATCTTAGAGAATATTCGCTTACCATGTAGCGAAAGAGTGAAGTTTTGGATGTGCGGGACGGGATACTGATCGGGGACCGTCACAGAGTTCAATGCCCGATAGTCACCACACGGTCACCAGTCGCCGCTCTTCTTGGGGACAAGATGGAGGGGTGATGCCCAGCAGCTGTCGGACTGTCGGATGATGCCGAGCTCAAGCATGTGATCGAACTCTGCCTTGGCGATCTTCAAACGGTCCGGAGCAAGACGACGTGGTCGGCAAGATTTGGGAGGTCCATTGGTGGAAATGTGGTGGGTGACTGTGTGTTTGATGTCCACTTCACGAAATGAGGGGTTGGTCAGGCGGGGAAACTGCCTGAGGAGTGAGTGGAAAGGACAGTCGGAGATAAGCATAACAGTGAGAGGGTTGACGCAGGAGTTCACATCAGATTGACAACGGGCATAAAGGTCGGTAATGCAGTCGACGACTCCGCGATTCTTCAAATCATCCAGTAGATTAAAGTGAGCTAGGAAATCGGCACCTATGAGGGCAACGGAGACGTCGGCAATAATGAAAACCCATCGGAAGATTCGACGAAGGCCCAAATCGAGTGTGATGGAGCGCTGTCCAAAGGTGGGGATGCTGGAGTTGTTGGCAGCTGTTAGACAAAAAGAGCTGCGGTGTTTGCGTTCGGCCGGAGTTGGTGGGACCACGCTAACCTCGGCACCAGAGTCGACAAGGAATTTGGCGCCAGCGATACGGTCCCAGAGAAACAGACGGCGAGTGTGAAGATTGGCAACGTCCCCGATCTAGCGTGGGACGTGCTCCTAGGAGTGAAGTTCTTAGCGCGCCATGGTTGCCGTATCGATGTGCTGAAACGAACGAAACAGTTCTAAGCGATGGAAGAAAAAGCTCCGGCTGCGCCGGAAACCTTCGACGAAGAAGCCGTTTGTGCGGTCATACAGAAGGAAGTTCAGTTACCACCTGCATCAATTGATGATATTATGTCCCAATCCGTTCGGCCTTTGCAACACTGCTGCCACATTTTTGCGGCTTATGCAAGTGGTGTTAGCTCATTTATACCCACAGCAATGCCTAGTATATCTGGATGACGTAATTGTGTTCGGCTGGACCGCCAGTCGGCATAACGATGATTTACGGGCAGTTCTCGAGGCTTTAAAAGAGGCCGGGTTAAGACTCAACCCTCAATAGTGCCAGTTTCTCCGTACTGCCGTAACCTATTTGGGCCACGAGGTAAGCGCTCAAGGCATCTGCGTGTCTTCGGAGAAAGCAGAAACCTTTCGTTGCTGGCCGATACCCAATACGCCTACAGAAGTAAGAGGGTTTATAGTTCTAGCCTCCATTTATCGGCGTTTTATAGCAGATTTTGCCGGCATAGCACGACCACTACACAGACTAAGCGAAAAAGAACGGAAGTTCCTATGGACCAGTGAGTGTCAGGCTACGTTTGACGACCTCAAAGCCCGACTTGCTACGGCACCCATACTCAAACGTCCTAACCTAAGCGATGACGCGCCACCGTTCATACTCGACACTGACGACAGCGTGTTCGCAATTGGTGGAGTGCTGTCCCAAACGCATGACAAAAGGCAGGAAAACCCCATTTGCTTTGTCAGTAAAACACTATCGAAACCACAAAGGAATTACTGTGCATACAGACGAGAGTTATGTGCCATAATCACGTTTGTAAAGCAGTTCCGTCCCTACCTACTAGGTAAAGTCTGTGTGCTACGCTCTGATCATAAAGCCCTACAGTGGTCACAAAATACCAAGGACGCAGAAGGACAATTGGCCAGGGGGCAAGAAATTTTACAGGAGTATAACTTTACCTGTGTATACCGTCCCGGCAAGCAGTATGCCAACGCAGATACCTTCTCGCGACGCCCCATACATCCAGATATCGCAGAGTCCTGCACGAGGTCGGGTGGATTTAACGCCGTTTACGTCAGTGAACCAACCCAATACCGCTGGGCTATAGCACAGAGCACGGATCCAGACACAGCAGTAATATATGA